TCATGTGGTTTGTGAATGGTGAGTCAACTGGAGGGCCAAAATAGACGGTGTCCTTAGGTGAGCTTTCTATTTTTTTTTTTGTGGTTTGCGCACACTTGCCGGTTTTCTGTGAGAGGTCATCAGCTTGAATCAGTGGGCACAGCGGCTGTTTACATCAGATTCATCTGTTTTGCCTTTTGCAACAGTCATCTCCTAAGCGGATTTATTAAATAATGCCTTACAGGATATCACTGCCTCACACTCGAGTTAGTGGGAGAATGAATCATGAGGGGTTCCACTGAGAGCTGATGCGTCAACAGGATTATTAAAACAATGAAGGGAATCCATGTGAAAATATATTGCAAATGTGAGGCCAGTAGGTGAAGTTTCAGGTTTGTGAACATCATATTGCTGCAAACTGTTACCAGAAGAGCTGCAATTATAGGGTTGATCAGCTGTGGAGAGCTCACAAGCTGATCTATTACAATTTTAAAAAATGTCTTTATTAAAACAGCAACAAATATTGTCAGACGACCTATGGGTGTTTTGCTTGCATTGATCCTAAAACATTCCTGCTGATCTTAACCTATTCAAATTTGAATTAAAGTTATATCAACAGCTGCTTAAACCTAATACTGCACCAATAAGAAAAGGTGCAGAGAGGGTTGTTTATTTGCATTAAATAAGCTATTCTAGGTATAATTCAGTAAATGAGTTGACTCAAGTCCCATGCTTCTCGTGGTTCTTTCATTCATCAGCACACATGTCTCATGCATAAATTGTTTTATAAAGCTTATTTTTTTCCCATAGTTAAATGTTCTAAATTGGTAAAGATTCACCCCAGAAAATTGCAAAGGTTGGATTTTCTTCTGTCTGATTGTTGAATAACTTTGGTTTTTCATTGATTGTTCTCCTCACCATGATGGTTTTTATGAAACCAACTCTTCCACTGTTTCTTTTTATTTATTATAATTTATGCTCTACCTGGGTTTCATAGAGGAGTGATTAAAAAAATCTTTATTCTCTAGAGTATAAACTTACAGTACATTGGTAAGTAATTAGTTCAAAATTCCACATAGCGATCATTTATACTTGTTAGTTTAAAAACCTTGTTAAGAAGAAGTTAGTCTGGAAAAAAATAAGTACATTTCACATAATATACAGTACTAGTCACCTTGGAGGTAATAATATGATTTCACCACAAGAGGGCAGCAAACCGCTAAATATGGTGGACTCCCCCAAGTTACAAAGCTGTCAGAGGGTCAGAACAGTAAACAACAAGGAAATTAAATCCCTAATGCAAAACAGATCACGGTAATTCACTGGAACAGACGGGAATCATGGATGTGGAGCAGCTACGACAGACTTTGATCACTGCTGTTTATTGTTCCATTCATCACAATGAATATTGTTGACATCCATGCACATTGACTTTCACTGTGAAAATTCTAAAACATGTTCTCTCCTCCCACCTCCATTTTATTTGAATTGGAGCTTGTAGACATGCGGTGGAACACGGGCGACACGGTGGCTCCTCCAGGTCTGCAGATCCCCTATTTGCCACCTACACCCGGTGGATGATGTATTTTCCTCCCACACCTTTTTCATGGTGTCAGTTGGAAAGATTACGTACTTCCAACATCCTGAAGAACTGGACTTGCATGAGTCAGCGCTATGGCACAGCATATAAATTTCACACTGGATCATACTCCTGCAGGTCATAGAAATGACTAATTTACTTATGTTCTCTTCACTCAAATGAGCTGAAATGTCAAAACCTCTCGAGGATGTAATGAAAGGCCTTTTCAGAAAAAGGCGATTCAGTCGCAGTTCTCACCTTCCATCTGGTGTGTCTGCCAGTTCCTTGTTTTCATTGTCACTAACTCTCATGTCATTTCAGAGCCAGCCACCCCCCTCTGCCCACCTGCTGGCTGCTCCGCCCCTACACACACCTGTTTCCATTTACCTAATTGTCCCCTCTGTATATATACCTCCCTGTTTCCGTTCACGAGTTGTCTGAGCGTCTTTGTGCACAAGCTTTTCAGGCCTTAGGTTGCATAACTTCCTGACTGCTTGCCTGCCTGCTTGACTACGATTCTGCCTGCTACCATTTTGTTTTGTTGCTTTCCTGTTTGTTTGCCTTGTGTTAAACAGTCCAGTAAAGACTCTCTACCTGCCGTCACTGACTCTGTTGTGCTTTTGGCTCTAAGCTTGGTAAGTCGTTTATTTTAGCACTCAAAAGCATGAATCCCTCATGATGTGTTTCTTTACAATAAAGTACAACTTATGATGATACCATTGAGATTTTGTTAGCAACAGGGCAGCCTTGATAATGGACAGCTGGGTTCTACCACGTCCCAACTTCAATGACAGTCTTGAATTACGGATTTATTCTCTCATGGATTTTGAAGACCCTCCTTCCCCACCCATAATATTCACACAGACACAGGAAATACTATTGTTCTAGACAGGAAATGCTGAGAGTAGGTGCTCAGATGACGCTCCTAAAGACTGAGATTGGGGTCATACTATGTACATGTAGATGATCAAAACAAAGCCAGTATTGTGGGTTGCTACTAGAGAAGAGCCTCAGACAGCTACGGGAAGTTAAGCCATGGCAACTGAGTTGGAATCGTTCCCTTATATCTCCATTTAGACAATTACTGTGGCAAAGATGTGTAACTCTGGGAGTGTGGGCGGGTGTCTTTGTGTTAGTAGTGTCCTCACAAGGAAAAGAAAACATAAGAAAAGTACTCCAAAATGAAGACATCACCGATTATGATTTCTTTGAGAGATTCATCTTAGTTTGAGACTGAGATCAACATTTAAATTTAAGATTACAGTATATGCAGTATAATGAGGTTTTAAAAGGATGATTGATCAATCTTTTGCTGCTTTAGTAGACAGAGATGTTTGGTTTAGAGTCATTATAACACTTAAAATGAGTTTTGAGTTATCCTGTCAGTTAAAGGGGAACTTTTAATATTTTCCCAGGATTCATTTTAACTGTATCTACAGCTGGAGCTGTGCCGGTCGAATGAGGGAAGCTTCCTGCACCTGACTTAATGATGGTAAGTGAAATTAATTTTAAGTAAAAAATAAACATTTCTCACTTTGTGAACTTGTAGAATAGATAAGAAAAAATAAGTGTGCATTTGTAAAAAAAAACAAAAAACAAAAAAACAATTGGGGATGTGGATTTCAAGTGGGCCACGTTCAAAGCCTCCATTGGGGATGCAGCTGCCAGGAGTTGTGGTTAAAAAAAAGCTTGTCGGTACCTCTTGTGGCGGCAATCTGAGAACCTACTGGTGGACACCGGTGTTGAGAGGAGCTGTCAAGCTGAATGAAGCCTTTCGGGCGCGGTTGGCCCAGGGATCTCGTGAAGCAGCAGCCAGATACCGGCAGGCCAAAGGTGCTGTGGCTACAGCTGCGGCGTGCACAGATGCAAAAACCCGCTGGTGCGAGGACTTCAGGGAGGCATTGGAGAAGAACTTTCGGTTGGCCTCAAGGAGGTTCTGGCAAACATCTGGCATTTCAGGATGTTGAAGCAGGGCTGAGTCCAGGCTGTTTTCAGCAGGGGAGGAGAACTTCTAACTTCACACTGCTCAGCCTCCTGTGGATAGTCTGTGCCAGAGTGCTGAAAAGGAGACTCTGACCGACTGAAGAAGGCTATCCGGTCCGTGTATAACCAAAGTGAGAGTGTCTGTATTCTTGGTAAGAAGTCAAACATGTTCCTGTTGGGTGTCGACCTCCACCAGGATTGCCTCTTTCCACCAATCCTGTTTGTGATTTTCATGGACGGGATTTCAAGGCGCAGCTGGGGTGGGGAGAGTGTGTCCGGTTTGGGGGCCTCAGAATTTCCTCTCTGTTATTTGCAGATGATTTGCTTCTGTTGGCTTCATCAGACCGTGACCTTCAGCATGCACTGCGGCAGTTTGCAGCTGGGATGCGGGTCAGCACCTCCAAGTCCGAAGGCCATGCTTATCTGCCGGAAAACGTTGGACTGCTCTCCTGGGGTTGGGATGGAGTTTCTGCCCCAAGTGAAGAAGTGTAAGTATCTCGGGGGTCTTGTTTATGAGTGAGTGCAGGATGGAGCGAGAGACTGGCTGGCAGATCGGTATGATAATAGACATTTATAATAATAATAGATGTTAATTATCAGGTTTATTTGTCTGTTTTTCTCAGTTTATCTGTTTTTAATCTGACTGTCATTTTCTGGCACCGTCACAGGTATGCATGTTTAGAGGATCTGTGAAAACTTTTCTTTTACAGCGCACGTGAATCAAATGCTCACTAGAAATTCAGAAAATTCAACTTAAACACAACTATGGACAAAGGGTGAAAATAGTTTCAATATCAGTTTGAACAGGACTGAAGAAATAGTTAACAAACACTGCCATTGTGTCTAAGGCAGCTACCAGGAACTTTTAAGGTGGAATGTTTTTCTCTTATGTTGCTCAATGACACTGACATCCTAAATTAAAACAATATAGGCCTACCTTAATATCAATATGACTACTATGACAATTCAATTTGTTTCATTGGCTCTCTTGCATGATGCTTTAGTGATGATCGGATGTCCAGGCTCTTAAAATGAATATGAACTTCAACCGGATCCTGCGACCTGGGAACATTTCATTGCCCCCGCCCAATAGCGGCGGAACGTTGCTCCGGTGGCAGCACTGCATCTCTGTCCGGACGATGTGCAGATAGCTCCACGCCGAGTAGCAGACTGCGACACAGCGTCCAACTCCCTCCCTCCCTCCCTCAGTTCCTGCAGTCCTCTCCCCTCCTGTCCCACGCAGCACTGCCCCCCCCCCCTGCAGCCCTGTCCGACTGCTCATCAATAAGCTGTATTTGCCCACCACTAATCATATTGCGAGAGAGAGGGAGGGAGGGAGAGACGGAGTAGGGCAGCCAGACCTCGTGCGCATCATCAGTGCGTGTGTGCAGCTGGTGAGGGAGGGGTGTATCCTAGCGGGGAGCTTTTCCCTGTTGTAGTAACCAACCGCACGCAGACTGCCAGCCATTACTTCACTGCAGCAGCAATCACCCTCTCGGTACTTAGTGAGCCAGACACACTAACCTGTCTGTCCCCTCCTCTTCTCTCTCTCTCTCTCTCTCTCTCTCTCTCTGCATATTCAGCAGAGCTGCCCTCCTCTCCTCCTCATCACTCCTCCACTCCTGCGGCATTGCTCTCTGCTTGAAGGGGGACACTGGCCTGCTCCTCACCCAGTGATTCTGCATGACTGTCACAAAGGTAAGACCGCCTCGGATGGGGAACAACTTACAGGCTGTCACCGGGTGATTTTGGGGCTTGGACTGGTCAGACTGGAAGGTGAAGGTTATTGAAGACTTTATTCTCTTTAGTGTGTTTTTGTGTTTGGCTGTGGAGGAGCGAGGAGGAGTTTTTGAGTATAGTGCTGGAGTTGCTGGGTTGAGGCAGGTTGTCAGGATGCTGCTTCCTGAGGATGTGTGTTTGTGTGACTGTGTTGCCATTAGAAATGCAGACTGGTTATGATAAAACCAGTCAAATTCTGTGACTATATTCCCTAATCTGCAGTGTTTCACAGGCATTGTGGGTATGAAGAAGTTATTATTTTTATTTGTGAAGGAGCTGTATAAACTTTATTTAGATGAGACTTTGTGTTAAGGGAAGCTAAGGCCTGGAATCTGAAGAGAAAACTGTTTCTTTTAGGTGCGATTTTTGTATAAGACTTCCTTTCACACTCAGTTATCATACTGCATGTGCAGGATTGTTGGGAAATGAATTGTTGGAGATATTGTTTGGCAGGTTTGGTGGTTTTAAGACGTTTTGTTCATTTCTATTATTAAGAATAAAGGAGCTGATAAGCAGGTCCATACTGATTGGCTGTTTTGTTTGCTAGCAGCTGCAGGGAGTAGCGTGTATCTCCTAAAGCCCTACTGTGATTTTGACAAACAGTGATTTATAATCCTAATTAACAGAAAGACCATCACAGTATGCAAATAATGGCTTAAAGTGAATTTCGAAGCACTTTACAAGGAAACATGACTTGAGTATTTTGCATTTCTATTGTGTCAGTGTGATGCAGTGATGTAGCTTCTCCTTGATCTGTTGCGGTTTGGATTATATCCCATTTGTAAATAATTTAAAACAAAAGCATCTACCAAATTAATAAATGTAAATGTAAAAAACCAGTTCCAGCAGTCACATTACGGGAACTCAACCCCCTTATTTCAGAATAAAAAGCAGGTTCCCACAAGGCAAACCCCTAAATTTTAGGGTTATGGCTTCATATTTGGTTAATGTTAGTTTTTAAGTTAATCTTGGGGTGAGGCGAATAGCAGTATGGTTGAGATTATGGTAAATCCTTAAGGGAATAGTTATATGTCATTGCAGTGTCCTCTCAACAGCAAATGTGTTACTCACTGCTTGGGTGAGTGTTTGTGTTCACCTGAGTGTGTATTGGTGGTCGCAGTCTGTGCTTAACGCTGCACCAGCCAGTTGAATCCTCTTAATCAATTAACAGAGAGAGAGAGAGAAAGAGAAAGAGAGAGAGACAGACAGGAAGAGACACACAGAGAGAGGAAATTAGCACACCTACTCCCATGTAGAGAATTAACCTGGACTAAAATAGATGACCTACTGGCGACACAGGACAATGGCCTATTTACTCACACTTGTGGTCGCACACCTGCAACTTCCACGGAAAAGTTCCTTTAATACAGAACGGTGTGGTGGTTTGTATTTCCAGGCCTGAAAATCTCTGTAACACGAAACTGCACGGATTCACAGACAGTCGCTCTCAAAGTAAGATTTTTCTGCCTGTGTGTGAGAGACACTGTGTGGGAGGTGTGTGCTGCTGCGTAGGTGGACGTTCTCCACTATGAGAACTGAAAGAGGAAAAGGTCAGGTGTTCCATGTGCTGGCATCGAGCCGAAGCCTGAATCTGACTGTAGACGAGGCCAAAGGCACTGAAGAGAATTTAAATGAATCCACACTTGATTTTTCTTTTTTTTCGTTTGCGTCTTTGCTCGCATCTTGATTCTTACACGCAAGTATGGAAATGAGGTGAGGAGGAAGGAATGAAGGGGGGGAAAAAACAGGCAAAAAAAAAAAGTGCTTTGACATCTTTGCAGAAATAAAAAAAAAAAAAGTATGATAAAAAAAGATTTAAAAAAAAAGGTATGAAAGCACATTATCCAGTGGAATCTGAAAGATGATGGGTGTGTGGGAGAAGCAGAGAGAGAGAGAGAGTCAGGGAGCTGTTTTCATAGCTCCGCCTGCCAACAGCAGACAAGTCACCTTGGGAGGGATACACGACAAGTGCTTGTATGCTGACAGGGCTAAACAACCTTCTGCCCCTCAGCACACAGATACAGACTGACAATATTCAAGAGACACATGCAGTTCCTGCAATGCCTACTCAGTGTCAGAAGATTTGTATTGTCTGACCTGATCTTTTGACATTGCAAGAGGGACGTTGGAGTTTATGCATGCAGAATAAGAATGACAGTCATCTTTTTAAATGAGAAATAATGTACATGCTGTATGTTGTTCATGTGGTTTCGGCTTATGAGCAGCAACACGTCAACTAAACACAGAATTACTCGGAGTTACTCGGGTCATCTCCTCCTCGTCAACACGTCTGCATATCTGATTAACCAATAACTCAATCAGAAGATCAAGAGTTGTTCAACAAGACTCGCAGCGCTCCAACTTATAAGCATTTTTTTTTTTTGCTGTAAAACTTTTTGCATCAACAATCCATTAAGTGGAAGAAGGGAGAAATAAAATGTCAATACAAACCCAAATTTAAGAGATTTTACATTGACCAATCAGGTCATGTCCTTTATGACAAAATAGCAAATTGTCAGGCTGGCAACCTGTGCTGGTATCAGACCACATACACACACACACACACACACACACACCCACACACCCATTAGTTTTTTTTTTTTTCCAAGAGCTACTCTGCTCTTTGTAAATAGATCCTACAGATCAAGAGGACTTCACATTGGTGGTGTTCCTTGAGATTCTTGATGTTTAGACGTTTAATCTTCCAACACTGACGTCAGATTCTAATATTTTTACAGCGGCAGGTTTTTCCAAGTAAAGTATTAAAGCTTTTCCAGTTGGTCTGTTTTTGCTGTTTCTGGGGAAAATAAGTTGTTTCTCTTCCTCCCGCCATGATGAATCTGTATTTACACATCAATCAAGATTCTGTAGCGATAAAAGCATTAACATTATACTGGTTATTGTTCATCCCTGAACAAGTTCATCCAGGATTCATTTTCCACAGCAGCCACACAAACATTACTAGCTAGATCATCTACCGCAGTGCTGATGAATGTAAACCTGGGAGCATTTACAGATGGTAGAAGTTGCCGGCACTAGTTGTGTAATATATCTGACATGTTTTTCATTGCAATTGACAGATCAAGCTACGGAAGAGAAACTACCATTCACTCCTTTCACACAAAATGTTGACAGAGAAAATAGGTCATTGCATGTTTAAATCCATGGCCTTTGCTTTCAAACGTGGCCCCGCTGGCCCTCTGTGAGACAGGACCACAAGTTCTCTAGCTTCTTAATACTGACAGTTCAGTCTACTGGCAATCATTTCTTTACGTCTGGAGGTTTATCCCATATATTTCTACCAAATATTATAATCCCTCAAATTGAAAACCATAATATGATTAGTGAAATACCTGAGGGTAATGCCTCCTTAAATTGCTGGATGATGTTGTTAAACTGTAGGTTTATGAGCAGGATCCACCCGCTGTGTGTAAATATGCCAAATGCTGCCACAGTGGTGGGCCAAGATTTTTTACCACTGCTGAGGCATTTCTTAAGAAATGGATGATGCTCTACTGTTCATGAATCAAAATGCAAAGAACTGCAAAATACAAACAATGCCTATTCTTTCTTTTTTAATTTTTTTTTTTCCAGCATTTGTTTGTGCATCACAAAGAGCCAAAAAGAAAACGTGCAACACAGGCCCTCGACTCAGTGATAGTACAGTTACATGGAGTGCATGTTAGTCCATTAGCCCTCCACAAATGACAGACCACAAATGTTTATTCTGACTGAACATATTCAGTATTTTCACTCTGACGGCCAACATTACAAACTAAGAAACACAAGAAAGAAAAAAGTCAAATGTTGCAAAAAAAAAAGAACGTATACGCTCGCATGAGGTGATTTTTCAACACTCTTTCCGCATTAGAAGTCACATGACATCCAAAAACATCGCAGACTCTTATCTCCAAAAAACATCCCTGATACGTGGCTGCTGCCGGATATAAGTGGTTTGCCTTTCTGTCGTTACGTGCACCCGATGCCCTCGTCGCCTTTGATTAAATACCACAACAGCTATTGCGGGGGCTGCAGTCAAAGTCCCCCGTCCCGACACTAAGCAGATGCTGGAAATCCCACGCCATGTTTAATTTCAGTGATATTGCAAGAGGAGAAAACCCAGCTCATCACTCAATGGAAACACGGACCATTGGCATTGTGTTTTGTTGACTAATAATTGTGCAAAACTGCAATGGAAACATTACTAATTAAATATTGTCTCCACCTTCTAGGCAGCCATTCACTTCCATTTATTTCTACTGTAAATCATCTTGCAGATACAGCACTTGAAGCTTCAATAGTAAATCCATAACAGGGAGTTTGTCTTGTTTTATTTTTGTCAGTGTTATGTTACCATAGCTGTTAAAGGGGCTTTTGAGAGTTATTGTAGCTTATCTACAGACTATTGATACTTCAGATCCTCTGGCTGTGACACGGAAACGAGGAGAATATTGAAATGAAAACAGCAGAATCTGTTTTTTCCTGAGTGAGATGCTCGGTGCTGCGTACAGCCCGCTGCTCTCAGCGGTGCAGCAGAAAACTGCCAACACAGCTAGCACATCAGTGCACAGCACGAGATTATTATTACTATATCTGGACACTCTGTTCTCATCTGCTTTGTGATTGTGTGTTTGTCTGTGTGTACATGAGTGTGTGGACATGTGTGGGAGGGCACAAATGTGAGTTGGCAGACACATTATGTGAAGGTGGGTGGAAAACTTCCATTACTACTAAATCGGTACAAGTATCTAGTGAAACCGGCAAAAGAGAAAACCTGTTTATCTGCCGTCTTTTTGACCTCACACTGCGTGAATGTGTTGCTGCATCTTCAAGGTTGTTTGAATTGATCAAAAAGGAAGCCGGGTGAAATCCTACCCTCCCTTACATAAGATAAAAGTAGTAACAACAACCCCATACAG